AAAAAAAAAAAAAAAAAAAAAAAAAAAAACACCAAGACCTTTGCTCTAACATTTCAAATTTGTTTTTATTGCTTCTAATTGGCCTTGCTTTGGAGCATGCACATTATCTAACTGCCAGGGCACTGGCTGTCATTATCTGCTGGGTCATTCGGTTTGTGTTCTTTTACGATTGAAACTTGTCAGGCACTCCCAGAAAATACTGCGCTCCCCTTGCAGTGTCAAACATGACACTGGCTAATTGTGCATCCCTGAGAGTGAAGCATTGGAAGTGATCAGGCACTGACTGTTTAGTGCGATGGACGCAATGGAAACATGTCTCCCCAGGATGGAGGGGAAAGTATAAAAATTAGATCAGCAGCAACACGGCAGCAGCCACATTTCTTAGTTTCAGGGATCAGAGGTTACCCATTTTCCAGCCTTGATGACTCATTTTCGATCCCACTCACATGGCTCGAATAACTTAATTTTCTCCACGCTTTGCAACAATTTAAACACCAAGACTCTTCTATTTTTACTTTCTTTAATACACCACCTAAGTCATTAACACCACCTGAGTCGCTAACTCAGATCTCCCCACCTCATCTTGCTTCACCAGATGGAAACAAAAGTGTAAAAATGTGCATGTGAAAAAGCTTAAAATGCCACGGTGGCACAAGTGTGCCTATGGTGGTGGCTCTGTAAGGCTCAGCTCATCCAAAACATCAGCCCAGTTTGTATGTCTGCTGACTCATTTTAAAACCTTTAAGATTTCCTACCAATTAGAAATCCAGGTACAGTTGTTTTGGATGTGATCATGTACACTGCATTCAGAGTAGATGTATATAGGGCTTGTCCTCCTGTTGATGGGCTGGGAGAGCTACGGGCAGCAACAGCAAAGTCCCCATTTTGCAGACTGTAGAATAGAGCATCCCTGGGAACACCAAGCTGCTAGACCTCGCTGTGAATTATGCATCTGCTGTATTTAGATAGAAGCAATTTTCCTGTTGAAATCAGAGGTTGGCATTTTTTCCCGTGGGGTTCTGTAACTTAAAATTGTGTTGAGATCAAGCGTGTAGAGGAGGGTTTTTTAGCGGTAAAGGTGAACGTATTCACATATTCAAGTGGTGATTTTTTTGGATGTACAATTAGTTGAGTGAGAGATGTGGTATAAATTTGGTATTGTAATTGCTATGCCTCTGAGATTTCAATTTGCAAAACAGTTTGCATGGTTGCAAGATTAACTGTTGTCTGTGCGATGAACGTGTAGCAGGGCTGTGATTTGATTGTGACTGTCTCTCAGCTGGCTGTAGGTCCCAAAAAAACCACTTTGTCACAAGTACCTGATGTGAACAGAGTGGTTGATACTCATGATCCTTCAGTTATGTGGATGCCTGGATGGCTACAAAAAGACCAGTGTCTAAAAATCCCACCTGTAAGTACTGTTGGTATGGCAAGATTTCCTTTTCTGTGTTCGTCAAATCATGAAAAAGGAAGGAAGTTTAAGACCCATTTTTATCCTCTTTACATATTTTGTGTTATATAGTTTGCTTCACTTGCACAGAGGAGAATGGGAATGACATTCAGCAGTGCTGTTGCAGTGGACTGGACCAGTGGGTGCAGAGAAATGGGGCTGGTACAGAAGCACTGGCACAGCCCAGCCAGGAACTGAGCCCTGCCTGCCTGTCCAGCACTGGCTGTGCCCTGGGAGCAGGCAGGCAGGCTGTCAGCAGTGACATGGACAGGGCTGATGCAGGCCCAGGGCAAAGAATGGACTGGCTGGCTGGCTGGCTTTCTGATGTTTTGCTTGATTCTCCATTTAGTCCACAGCTGCTGCTGTGTTTGTGTCTCCGGTGTTGTCTAGGAACATGTCAATGTAATTATACACACAATCAGAGAAACTGCTTGTTCTCACTTCACTCTGCCTTTCAGGTCTCCCTTCCAGGGCCCTAATTTATTTATTTTTGTCTCAGTGTTTCTCTTCAAAATACCACTGTGCCTTAGGTTGGTGACTGTGCTGTGGAGATGCAGTAGATGCTGAACAGGAGGCAGCTGTGACAGTGGTGAGGAGGGGAGGGCTGGTGGAGGCAAAGCCCTCTAAGCCCCGTGTGCCACATCAGCCCCTGCATTATTTCAATTCTTTTTAAATGTATATTAAAACCTTCTTCTGCAACTAAAAGCAGAGGCACTGACAAACACACACCTATGTGGTGGGGAAGGCAGGTTTCTCTGTGTCACTACAGCCAGCAGACCCTCTTTAGAGGGTCCCGATTCCTTGGGGTGAGTCAGGGTGGAGGGATCAAAAGACCTGGGTTTTCATCTCTGCTCTTTTCAGTTCTCCCCAGGTTTGCTGCATGGCCTTCACTTTTGGTAACATGGCTGTGTGACAGACAGGTCCTCTTCTTCCCAGTGTTTGGGTCTCAGTATGATTTGGTAGAGCACCAACTCCAGCCTTCCCAAGGTCTGCAGCTGCCAGGGAGAGTAAAGATAACTGGTCTTCGAGGGGGCAGACTGAGAGCTCAAAGACTAGATCAGGCACGAGTAGAGGACCTTCTCATCTGTATCCTGCCATAACAGTGGCGGGGGGGAATGAACAAAATCAGCAGGGCCTGGCAGGTATTGGAGGGGGCAAGAGCTGTCTGAGGGGGCACCCCAAAGGCTCACTGGAGCCCCTTGGCTGGTGTGAGCAAGGCTGACAGCATGGTTTGATTACCTTCCATGGGGTGGGCAGTGGATAGTCAGGTTTTATGCTTTTACAAAGGAGACACTATTGAGTTATATCTGCAAGGGATGGTGATGGCTGCTCAGAGCTGGTGCTGTTTTGGGGTGAGCCTGGAGGGACCCCGCTCTCCCTACTGGCAGTCCACAGACAGGGTTATAGGGCTGCCTTGCTGTCAGCAGGCAGCCAAAGCTGCTTCCTCTGGCTTCTGGTCCCAGTGTTTGTCTCAGAGGCACCTTTTCAGTCCCAGTGAGACCTGACAGTGCTGGCAGGGGGCTGGGAAGTGAAGCTTCCCAATCTGGAATATCCTGGTGCTGGCTGAGCCACCCTGAGCAAGAGATGGTGCTGCAGGACCCACACCCTTTGCCATTCAGCCTCTCATCAAAGCAAAGGCTCTGGGTACAGTGGGGTGAGTTGTGACCCCTTTTCCCCAGGCCTGGCTCTGCCCAGACAGACAGTCCAGGGCTGAGGCTGTCAGGTTACTTGTGCCCACCTTGCTCGGACCAGCGTGTCAGGACCTGGAGGGCAGAGAGGCAGAGAGAGTGCTGGGCTGTGAGATGGAGGGTTTTAATTAAGGTTTCTAAGCAAAGAAGCTTTGTAAGTAAATAGAATAGAAATGTTACAGAATTAACTGATAATAGACATTTACTTTTCCTTAAAGTAGCAAATGTTCATCATGCACACTGTAAACACACACTCAGGAATGCTTTGTCTGGGAAACACATAGACTTATCAGGAGCCAAAGTTTTACAAAGTAGGTCTTTCCCCCCGACAAGCTGTGGGAAGCTGGGGAGCTGGTCCTATGGTGCTGGATTGTAAGGAGATCAGTTCTTACCCTGTGAACTCCTGGGGCATCACATTTTATTTAGCATAACCCCGCTTCTTTGGAGACCAGTAGTAAAACTCCCACTGCTCTGCTAGGGCTGTAGCCCGAAAGGTGCACTGGAAGCAGCACACTCCAATTAATAGTGACAACTGAAGTTTGGCATGACTGCTAGATAATTGGAGTTAACGGCATGATGAAACAGCAGTGTCACACTGAGCTCTTTGAAGGCACCGGTCTGGGTGCTGGAAGCACTGGCATCATGTGCTGGGAGTTCCCCAGCCACGCAGTTGGAGTCTGTCACCAAAGAGTCTGACCCAGCTGTGAACACCCCTGGCAGTGGAGGCAATCCAGAGGTGAGGAGATGCGTGAACCCAGCTGCCCTGTGAATGGCACGTGCCCCAGAGGGAAATAGTGATAGGAGGGCTGTTAATGAGCAGAAATGAAGTGAAACATTTCAGGCACGCGGGAGCTACAGCGAGGAGTGTCGTGAAAGAGTGGATGCACCACCACAAGGAGAAAACAGTGGTAAGTGCCTCACCCAACAGGGAAGCAGTGGGGCCCTTCTCTTGGAGAGCTCAGAGCTAGCACAAAGCCCTTGAAGCCTCCTGGAAGGACTAACCCTGCTCTGGCCAGGGGACGATGGGACCAGCTGGTCTTTAACCACCACTAATTTGTGTCGAGCTGCCAAAGCCTTCCTTGCAGATGCACTTCACTGTGAGACTTCCTACATGGCTTCTCCTCAGAGCGCACCCCACACACACATGGACCTGCTGCTGCAACACCGCAGTGTCTGACAATGTCTGTCCTCTCTCTCTTCCTTTGGCAGGAAGGACAAACTGCCGCACTTTAAATGCACTGCCCAGCGGGGCCCAGGGAACAGCCATGCTGGCAGCAAGCCAGAGAAGAGGAGCCAGGCACATCTGAAGGACCAGTCTCTTTCCACACGATGAGAGGAGAGGAGAGAAGAGGAGAGGAGGGCTGCAGGGCAAGGCGGAGGAGCACGTCGCAGTCTGGAATCGATGATGTTTCTCTTTTTTTTTTCTCCCAGACAAGTATTTCTAAGATAACAAATAGTCCAAGGAGAGAAGAGGGAGAGGGAAATTAGCCAGAAATTTTACTATTGATTTTTTTTTATTTATAGATGGTGAATCAATTTCAGGTTTTTGGGGAGTTTTTTTGGCCTTTTTTTTTTTTTTTATCTGTAGGGGGGAAAAAAGAGTGAATTAATAGCTTTACGGAAATCATTTGCGGTGGCTGAAAAGCTATTTGTTAAAATGAGAAAGCCTCCCCTTCCACCAGCAGTCCCCTTCTCTGTCTTTAAAGGGGTAATCCATACAACGAGCTAAGGAGGGAGTCCTGGCTCCCCTGCTGCACCATGTGATGTCTCCCCTTTTAGTGTCAGGCTTGGAAGCTCTTATGCCAATTGCATGTGCTAGTCCTGTTAGCTTGCATTAAGAGAGCCTGATAAATAGCTTCTGGGAGCCAGGCAGGTGCTCCTCAGTGTGCCGTTTATCATCCGCTGCATGGTTAGGTTTTTTGCTCTTTATCAGATCATTTGAGGAGAGGGGTCATATGAGAAATGTTCCTGTCAGGCTGCCGGCATGAAACTTAATGCAAGACCTGTCTAACAGGCAAGAAATGTGGTCCTCAAGCAAAAAATGGCTGAGGTCTAGAAAGACTGGACTTCTCAACAGATGTATGACTAAGGCAGCATGAGCTAGGGGTCGCGCTGAAAGGGGTGAACAAACAGTGTTGTGCCACTACTGCAAGAAATCCCAAGTAGAACCTCAGCAGCTTTACATTACGTGGACAGCATGTGAAATCTCTGCTCAAAGCCACAATCCCTGGACAGTCTTATCTCCTGCATTGTGTGACTATCTGAAATCTCTGCCAGGGATTCTCAAACTGGAGACCAAAAGAGGGTGATGCTGAGGAGAGTCCGAGTGTCTCCCAGGGGATGGGAAGGGAGAATGCACTTAGAAGTGCCTCTTCCCAACCCATCAGAAGCCTTGGGAAGCAGCTTCTCTTTACTGTCTTCTGCTTAGGAGTTAGGCTGCAATGATGGCTTGAGAGAGAGAAGGTGCCAAGACTCAGCAGATAAGAGAAGGAAAGGATGAACCAGACTGAGGGTGAAGAATGATGTGTGAAACAAGACTAAATAAGCTCCTCTTGGTGGGGGGAGGCCCTGAAGAAGTAGTAGCCCCAGACACTGTTAATTAGTAAAAGCTGGGTTGGTTGTTCTTCTTCTCCTTCCCAGGATAAATGTCACGGTCTAAGAACAGAGTCAGGCTCAGCTGGGTCCTTGCACCAGCCTGTGTGGGAGAAGAATGAATCCTGGGGACAAATGAAAAGGTATGATAAAAACTAGGAACTATAGGCTAAGATAGACCTTTGGGGTAACCTAAATTTATTGTTCCTGGTGAGAGAACTCCCTGATTCTTCAGTAATGGAGACCTGGCTGCAAGGCCTGAGTGTGACCAGTGCTGAATCAAGGTGTGATCCTAGGAAGAGCTGAAAACAGCTTGGCTTGCTTTCATACTTCCTTCCTCTTTAATAATCTCAATGGATAGAAGGGAGTTTTCTGTAAAGTCCTTGAGCTTCCTTCCATACAAGTAAACACAAAGCAATCAGGATCAAGGCTGAAGTCTGTGTTCTGTGTCTCACACAGGACCTCACACACGCTTCTGGAGCCTCCCAGTGGTCCTCCTGGAAGCCACTGGCACATGGTTTCCATCCAGTTTGTATTACTGCAGCCAGAAAAGAGTGAGCAGGTATGAGTTAGGACAAAAACTTGGCTTTGCATGCCTCTGCAAGCAGACAAGCCACTCAGGATCTGCCAAAACTTGAGCTAAATGTTATCTGTGCATTAGCCACCCATTAGCTGGGCTTTCCTTAGTTAGTTAATTGCTCTCTGACCAGGGGAACTCTGTAGAAAAACAAGAAGCAGCTATCCCACTGGAAAGAAAATTATTTGAAACACCAAGCAAAAACTGATACTGTCAGTATTTCAAGGTGAGGGGGTTAAACTGTGTACATTTTTAGGGAGAATAGAATGCCTTTATATGATGGATTCCAAGGCATCCAAAAAGCACAGTGCTGGCTCCCTGTCTCCAAAAGCAGCGTAATGGATAGCAGTGACAGTGTGATAATTAAAATGACCTCTTGGAGATATGGATTAGAAGGTAGGCAGAGGAGGGATAAGTTCTCCTTTGAATTAATCTAGTGCTAATTTATGACTATCGTTGGATTTTATAGTGTTTTAGTGGAAGACTTTCAAAGTTGGTTTACTGGGGTGAAAATGTTCCTTCTGCATATTCATTGGAAAAACACTTGCAGAATTCCTCATTATTTATTTTTGAATGTTTCTGTATACACACACATATATATATATATAATGAGGGAGTTTCAGTATTTGCTTAGCTGCTAAAAAGTCTACTCTAGAAATATGAATAAAGTGATAAAAGCAGCTGTGGAATGAGTGTGTTGTTTCATTTTCATTCCTCCCTCCTCAGAGATTCCCAGATCACTTCAAAACCAAGGCATGGACAGGCAGATTCTGGGAAGCTCCCTCTACCTAACTTGTAAAATTTGGGCTTTTAAGTTTAGATTTAATAACTGGATCTTCCTGGAAGTCACTGTCTCTGCTTCTTACTTGTTTTCTGCCACCTTTATCTGCCCCACAACCTGAAATGTAAATGAAATGCTTCCTTTCTGCTCAGATATCCCAAGCTTTTAGTTGGATAGACAGAACAGATTGGAGATGGTTACCCATATGGGAAATGATGACATCCCATTTGTCAACTTGCATGCTGCTAACCTTCCTCCCATCCTCTCCACCTGCCTAGCAATGCCATAACATCCAACATAAGGTTATCTGCCAAAGCATCTGCCTTTCTCTTCAGTCAGGCAGCACACCCATTCTGGAACCCATCTTTGCACATCATGATCAAACCTTTTGCTCTTACCTCCCATTTCATTCCTCTTTCAGGTTGTCTCCAGCACCTTCTGGTCCAGCCCCTACCCAATTTTTCCGCACTGAGATCCCAGTCACATCTTTCCTGAGCCCCATAGGCAGGAAGGCACACTATAGTGCTTTCTTCAGAGACCTGCCTCTGCTTCCAGGGTTCACTTAATAAACTGTGTTTCTTGAAAGCTCTCCCTGACCAGCTGGGAATGGAAGCCTGAGCCTTTCACTGTGGGGCCTTTGCCTCATGAGGGTTTACACTTTGGCATGGCAGAGTGTGCATGGTGTGCACATCCCATTTTTGGGGGGAGACTAGCACGGGAGCTGAAAATAGGAGGCCTCCTGTTCCCAGTCTCCAGTCCACTTTCCTCCCTCATGTTCTCTACCTGAGCAGGCAGATCCTGCTTCAGAGCCTACTTCTGGCCTGCCTAGAGACTTTTTCCTGGGAGATGATCTATGCCTCAGACGTAAGTAATGCATGTTGTAACACCCAACAGTAATTCTTTGCTAGTTGCTTGTGTCAGGTCCAAGGTAAGGTAACACCAGGGGTTCTGAAAGGTTCAGAGACAAACATGGTTCTAAAACTAGACATTTAACTGGACAGAGCAAAGGCACATGTTTATCTGAGTGCAAGTGGAGTTTTTTTTGTGGGAAGACCAGTGCCCCATTGCAATGCCCTCCCTGCCTGTTCCCACTCTCTGCCTGGGGAGCTGCAGGGCTCTCCCTTGGAGCAGTAGCAATGTATTTGCCTCCCTTTGTACACGACTGGGTCATGAATATTAAAAAGCTGAAATTAACTTGTTTTCTATGCATTCTGCTCTCCTGACAAGAAAATCCCACTACAAACCCCTGCACAGGCAGCCTAAACTGCACTGAATTGGACCCTCGCTGTGAGGGGATTATATATTCTGATTGGGGCTGAGTTTGCAATTATTTTCTCTTGCCATACCAAAGACCTTTACTGCAGAGCTGCAAACCAGTTATAGGAACATGAAATGCTTTGACTTCTTCACTAGGGAAACATTAATCCAATCACAGGTTATGTCCATTACAGACTAGTGATGGCCAGTCTCTTCGCGAACGAAGAACCGGGGAAGGTCTTTCCACCTTCCAGCCTGCGCATTGGATT